CTCTTTATTAAAAAATCATCACTGCATCGAGTTGTATCTACGAAAAGTGTTATAGAATCGGAAGAAATAAGTTACATATTATTAGAGTCTTCAAAGAGCTCGTTTTGCAAATTACAGATTTACATATCTGTAATTTGCGAAACGGCGCACTTCTGACCTTTTGGCTCGAGCTCTTTATTAAAAAATCATCACTGCATCGAGTTGTATCTACGAAAAGTGTTATAGAATCGGAAGAAATAAGTTACATATCATTAGAGTCTTCAAAGAGCTCGTTTCGCAAATTACAGATTTACATATCTGTAATTTGCGAAACGGCGCACTTCTGGCCTTTTTGCTCAAACTCTTTATTAAAAAATCATCACTGCATCGAGTTGTATCTACGAAAAGTGTTATAGAATCGGAAGAAATAAGTTACATATCATTAGAGTCTTCAAAGAGCTCGTTTCGCAAATTACAGATTTACATATCTGTAATTTGCGAAACGGCGCACTTCTGACCTTTTGGCTCAAAGTCTTTATTTATAAATCATCACTGCATCGAGTTGTATCTACGAATTGTGTTTACGAATCGGAAGAAATAAGTTATATATCGCTAGAGTCTTCGAAGAGCTGGTTTCGCAAAATACAGTACGGGTTTACTCGTTTCGTTTCGTTTCGTTTCGTTTCGCAAAATACAGTAAGCCTTACAAAACAAAATCCGAAACATGACCGCTACATAATCCCTTTGTTGCTAATTGTTGCATTAAGAATATTCTTAGTAAGTGTCACGCGTACGTGGGATGTAAATCTAGTCTGTGCTTTCCTGCTCCAGATTACGTAAGAAGACTAGTTCCTTCTTAAAACATTTTAGGGTAGGATTACGCCTACTTCTGCGGTATTTCATAGGTTCCCTACTTGTCGTGTTTGTGTTGTGATTTTCATCACATTTAAAAATGTCATCGGAAATTCATGCTGTAATATCTGTAATATTTTGTAATATCTGTAATAGTTTGGGCACAATGCTATTAAATCAGGGCATCAAGCATGATGCTGCTATGACTAAAATTCTTAGGCATAAATGTGTTACACTGCTTTCCTAGTACGTTTAAAATGAAGTTTTAAGGTGGTTTTCAGTGAGCATATCATGTCTCAAATGCAATTTCTAGTAGTACTCTGCAACTCTTTGGGCTAGGTAACTTTATTGAAGGCCTGGTTACTACCCACATAATCAATAAGGGCTAAATATGTCAGTGAAGCCTGGGAGAAAAAGTTCCAATTAAATGTTATGTTTTGAAGTGTGGTAAGCTTGTGACTCCTTGTAGCTCTTACTTGTTAGTGGCATAAAAGGAGGGCGGTTAAGGCTTTGAAGGGCTCTTAGACGCTCTTAAATTAATTTATTAAGTGGAATATAATGCAAAATTATGAGCACAATTTTCAACACTGTGCTATGTAACTCCAGGGGTAATATTCAAAGCAAAATTCTCCAAGTTTAGAGCATATTTTTTATGACCTTTTAAAAAATACATCGAGTATGAGCAAACTGTGCCTAGAAAGTATTGCAATAAGCTGCCTTGTGATTTAATTTACTTTAGTTTCTGTGAATTAGTAGCAGCACTAGAACAGAAGCATGTAATGAAGAACCAATCTCAGTACTGTGATGTTTACATGTGTAAAATTATATAGATATTTCCAAACTTTGAACCAATCATAGGTGGCAAAGGTGAGACAACAATACTGTGAAGTATTGTTTTTGTTCTCTGAAGCAAAAGCATAAGAGTATCATGATAATATGAATAAAGGCTGATAGTTTCTAATTAAAGAAACTGTTTGGGGCTGCGTCGGTGGGGGTAACAAAATAATTTGGATATATCAACAAAGTTGAAATGGTAAATTGGCCACCATAACAATTACAAAAGCTGACGTTTCGACTGTTAGCCCTTCATCGGAGCGAAGGGCTCCGACGAAGGGCTCCGACGAAGGGCTAACACTCGAAACGTCAGCTTTTGTAATCGTTATGGTGGCCAATTTACCATTTCAACTTTGTTGATATATCCAAATTTTATCCTGATCATTAATAGATCGTAAACTGTAGATTATTTCCATAAGAATGTGAGATAGTGTGAGTCCTGCTACAAAACTACAGAACTGTGGACTGCAGATACTGAGCATGCTTAGCAAGACATAGCTGTTTCACTTCCTAAATTGTGTTCAAACATCACTGATATAACAAATCTCTGGGGGAAAAAGCTTTGTGCATGTTTTCACAGCAGGATTCATGAGAAAACTTTCATCACTGACAATTTTTTTCAGTTTCTTCAGTCACTTTTCCATGTTAAAGAAAAAGTCTTGTCAGTGATAGTTTCATGTAAGGGTTACTGGAACACAGAAATAAGCAAGCAGTACAATATTCTTGGGCTTGTGTTTGGATGAAGTTTTAAAAATAATATGAATAATAATTTTAGGTGCTGACTGAAAATTACCCATGTGTAAAGCCTTGAACTTGTTTGAGCCATAATACACTGTGGTATAATATTGCACATAATATACCCTTATTTTCATGCTTTCTACAATGCTATTTGATCTCTTGGGTAACCTTCTGTCATGTTTTCTGTTCCTTTAGTGTTCTTACCTGGCCCAACTGGCTGTAACTGTGCAGCCATATGCATGGTCCATGGCCATCACCAGGATGTGACTGACTAAAGGCCACAGATGTTTCAAATTTTAGCCTTGGTTTTACTCAGCTAATTTCAAGAAAATAATAACAAATATTTGACACAAGGTATTGGACCTTGAACCTTGAGAAATCTTGATGAGGTTTGTGGAGCTTGAATGTTTCTTAGGCTATGTTTTCTACAAGTACTCTTTTTCATGAGGTAGGCTTTTTTACTCAGAATCTGAATTTAATTTTTTTCTTTTCATGTTTGGTTATGCGTAGGTCGTTTCTTTACAGCTGATTCGGTAACTCGTTCATGGTATGATCTTAAATGCAAGATCTATGCTTGTGTTGGCCCACAACTTATTAATTTAATGTTGGTGCAAAAGGACAACAGCATGATCGGTCAGTACTGTAGAGTCATACGTTATCTCGACCTTGGTGAGGGCCTTGTTTTTATTTTCCAAGCTACACGTAAAAAGGAGGCCAACTGTGAACCTTCGATCTGAAAGTGAATTTTTGATATCATGCAAACAAAACTCTTTTCACAATAGACGTTTGCAATTGGTCTCGTTTCGAAAGTGAGGCGGTGTGTAAGTCTATGTCATGTGACCATGATGTGTATTTTTGTGATCATGGAGATCACGAGGGCAATGAACTCTTTTCACAATTCTTTGTTAGACTCACTTTAGCAAGTTTAATAAGTCTGAGTGTGGAAAAGAAATCTGGCACTCGTCTTGAAAAACTAAGTACAAGGTTGTGAAAATGACATTTAGTTGTTTAGATGAATTCAGGATAAGTTGTTGTAACTGAAACTTGGTGAACATCTGATGACTCGAGTCTTTGTATCTTGCACTAGATGGCATCAGCTACTCCCTCAGCTCTTGTCAGCTCTGTAGAGAAGACAAATGGAGCCAAGCTCAGCAGACTTCTCATCGATGGTGGAACTACAGTCCTGAGGTGTATTTTCGATAGCTGTCATCCTCCAGGAAGTCTCTCGGCTTCCTTTACTGCAAACTATTCAACTCTGAATATTCTTTTACGGAAACGAATTTTACATAGATCACAATGGGATCTATTGTTTCCTCCAAGCGGTGCTCCTCCAGACTCCCAAACATTTGATATCACTCTTTTATTCCTTCTGTTAACCAAAATCTGTGGTCTCTCCCCACCCCACTCTGGTTGGCATTGTAAGCCACCGCCCAGTGACTCCTCTCTTGAGGCAAACTTAGCTCGTATTAAGTTTTACCGCAATGAGTTGTATGGCCATGTTACCACAACTGGTATTGCTGATCCAACTTTCTCAACTCTGTGGCAGGAGATCAGTGCTGTTCTTGTTGCTCTTGGCTTGCAGCAGGCAGAAATTGATAGATTGAGAGCTGAGTATTGTGGAGAGCAAGAGTTCATTGTTGCTTTGCTTGAGTGGGCTGATACTGAGGAAGATATAAAATCACAGCTGAAGGAAATCCGTCTTGCCCAGACCAAGGTTCACCAAATAACCAGTGACGTACATAAAACCCAGCTACAAGATCATAGAGCTATACGGGAAAGTAATTCCAGGTTAGAATACATACGTCAGACCCAACTAGAAGATCACCGAACCCTTCAAGATAGCAAAGCAAAACTCGACGAGGCTCGTCGAACTCAACTTGAAGACAGCAATGCAATTCAAGATACACGATCAAAAGTGGACGAGGTATGCGAAAGGTTGAAGACTTTAAAAGAAGAATTCCAGCAGAATATTGATGACTTGAAAGGTGAAAGCAAGAAGCAAGGTGATGATGAAATCCTAAGAAGGCTCGCAAAGGTTGACACTTTGCATGATGTAAGGCACCATGCAAATAGATATTTAAACGGGACTCGTTTATCGATCTTTGCAGAAGTTGAGAGATGGTTAGGTGATGAAGGATGTTCGAATCGTGTGATGGTAATCAGTGGGAATGCTGGAATGGGAAAGTCCGTAATATCAGCTGTTGTGTGCGAAAAGATGTTAAAAGCTGGAAGATTGTTAGGAAGCCACTTCTGTAAGCATAACGTGGCGCGTCGAAGAAATCCCAAAGTGATGTTACAGTCCTTAGCCTGTCAGCTCTCAGATTCTCTGCCAGAATACAAGGCTGCTCTTGTCGACAAGTTGTCAAGAAATCTGGGTGATGACATCAACAGTATGGAGGTGAGAGATTTGTTCGAATTGCTGTTTGAGGAACCTCTTTGCGGCATAAATGACCCTGGTATAACCTATCTCGTTGTAATGGATGGTTTGGATGAAAGTGAATACCAAGGACGAAATGACCTTTTAGACGTGATTTCTAGTTACTTCAAGAAGCTCCCACTTTGGATTAGATTTCTGATAACAACGCGACCTGAATTAAACATCGCCGACAGGCTGAAAGGTTTGCTTCCATTACGCTTGGAGCCAAGTCAAGAAGAAAACATGAGTGATATCCACCTTTGCTTCAAAGAGAAGCTAACCCATTTGTCACAATATGGAAATCGAGAAATCCTGCTGAAAGAACTTGTCGCAAAATCGGAAGGAATCATGCTCTATGCTCATTACCTGGTTGATTTTCTAAATAAAGATGTCCCAACGACACATGAACTGATGCAAAGCACCTTGCCAGCCGGTATTTCGTCTGTTTACCAATGCTATTTTGAGCGTTTAGAGAAAAATTTACGTGAACAGTTAGAGATTAAAGAAGACCAGTTCCTAAATTTCTTGGGCGCTGTCGCAGTTACGTACGAACCTTTGCCTCTAGGCTTTGTCTCAAAATTATTGCTGTCAGCGGGGAATTCATCGTCAGCTGATCAACGAAAATTAAGAAAAGCTATCACATGCATCTCGAATCTTCTTCCCATTGAAAATGAGTGCATCCACTTTTTTCACAAGTCCATCAAAGATTGGTTGATTGACAATTCAAGTTATGGCCATCACAGCTTTAGTCTGGTCCAAACAGAATGTCATAACATCCTTGCCCAACTTTGTATTGATGAACTTGATGAGATGAAGCGAAAAGGTGTCCGCAGTGCACTTTTCAGTGACACCGCAAAATATGCGTTACAACATGGCGTCACACATATGCTTGAGTCGAATGAAGATAGGTGGGAATTGAACCTCGAAGAAGTTATAACAAAGTATGTTTTGGACTTGGAACTAGTGTACGCAAAGCTCTGTGTTAACTCCTCTGTGGCTTCGGAAGATATTCTTCGCGTTCAGAGGCAACAGCATTTGATGAATAGTGATTCGTTTGACAAGTGCGATAGAATGATAGAACTAAAAACTTTGTTATTACAATTACGGAAATATAACAATATGTTAACAGAATTCCCTCAAGCTCTCTTTCAAACCCTGCTTAATGACGGAGGATCCACATTATCTTATGAAGCAATGAACCTGTTGGAGACTAAATTTCCGGAATTCTCATACATGGAATATTTGCATAAGAACGATTAAGAAGAGCTTGTTCAAGCTAGGTTTCAATGTTCAGCGGAAGTAGCTTGTATAGAGGTTTCCCCTCAGCTAGATTTAATGGTTTGTCAGTGTAACGATAACACGATTCACCTTTGGTCACTAGAAACTGGCAAGCTCTTATGGACTCGTTCTCAGACTGTTCAAGAACCTCTAGACTATGTGTATCTTTCAAACGCCTTTAGATCGATTTCACCCGAAGTATCTGGTTGCTTATCATTTTACCGTTCCGTGCTATTTCATCCTACTGAGAAATTTGTGTTAGCAAGAGTTCTTAGTTATGCCTATTCTTTCGACGGAGTCCTCAAACCGCTCTTTCCTTCAAGTGAGTGTTCATTCTCAGTTTGTTCTGTTTCTACAGAGAGAACGGCAATATTAACAGATTGTCCTCGCAACCCTAAATGTATAATAATGTGGAGTCTCGCTGATGGATCGGAAACTAGTCGTTTCACCAGCACTGATGATATCTTATCTTTTGCTTGGTCTCAAGATGGGAGTCTTTTGGCAATTTCTGATTCCATAGGATATATAAGTTTGGTTGATACTCTGAATGGGTTTACCTTTCTGGCAAAGGCACATACCTCGCACAAGAGGGGAATGATAAAGTTCTCCCATGACTATCGTTAACTTTTCGGAGCATACTTTGCCGTTGAACCGTATTTGAAGCACCATCTTTTGTGTTTAGAGGTGAAAGTAAACGACATTGGTAGTATGTCGTTAGATATTGTACCCAGCAAAGTCTCTTATAATCCCTGGGAATACGAATCGTGCGCCGAGTCTGGTTTCGAGCTTGGGGATCCGATGTGGTATCCGTTTGAGGAACGCCCAGCCGATTGGTATACGGAGTTTGCGTTGGTGCTTAGTGAGGATTGTCTGTTAAGGGGTTCTCCTGTAAGTGATGTCATTGAAATGGTGAGCATCGATGAACGGACGAAATGCAGATATGCAGTTTCTCAGACTGCTATCGAGAAAGTGGCATTTTCAGTCGATGGAAACACTCTCTATACAGTCACCCATCCTACCGGAAAAACACGGACTCTTAAGGCGTGGGATGTTTTAAATTCGACGTTAAAAGCCGAAAAAAGCGTTCATGCTGGATTTGGGGACAACTGTATTCTAGCTGTTGTAAGAAAAGGTGTTTTAATCACAGCTTTGGGCGGCGTTCTTGAGCTATGGAATGCCGAGTTGTCTGAGTGTGTCCAAAGGTGGACTAACATAGGGTTTATCAGGCGAGTTTCTCATGTGACTAAAGATCGAGTTGCCTTGGAAAAACTTAGCGGAAAAACGGAGTGCATTTTGGATACAAAAGAGATGGACATTGCGCCAATGATCTGTGGTGGGAACGGAAAATTTGTTGCTTGTAACAGCAAATGTCAGGTCTTAAGACTCGCCGATAAAAACTCACTGCAGCTGTGTTGTGGCGAATGTTTACTCTGGGAAACGTCTTCCCCTATTGCCTTGTTTTTTTTCCGTCAACACGGTACTTTTTCACCATCCGAACGGATCTTTGTAATTTTGGGCAGAGCCATACGTGGTTATAAATTTGATGGAGCCATTTTTGTCTTTGATGCAGTTTCTGGAAAAGCAATCCGCTTGTTGCCTGTTTATGACTACAGAAGTTATCCTCGAATGGAATGCGCTTTTCTAAGCGACGAGGAGTTTCTTATGTCAACCAATTTTACTCTTCGTATGTTTAATCTCAAGTCCGGTCAGCTGCTGAGTGTGATTGCAATGAAAAGTATAGTATGGAGTCTAACAGCTTCTCCACTTGGACGTCTCGTCGCTGTTGGTCTTGAAGATTCCAACCGAGGATTCAAAATTATGCGGGTGAAACCAGGAGAGAGACTGAGAAAGCAAGTCAAATGAAAGGTGAGTTTCAATCAAGATGCAATATTGAATTTTCAGAGTGGATTACGATTGTCACTCCTCACGGTTCCCACTGGAAAAGCACGCATGAATACTTTCATCCGAATTTAACGAGAAGAGCTGCAAATCCCGAAAGTAAAGACTCTTTTTTAGTGAACCCTTTAGTTCAGCTGTATTTCTGTATACAATTTTATTTGTGGGTCACTTCTTATATTTTTTGAATGGCTATTATCTTGACAATTAACCGGCAGCAGGGCAGAGAGGACATAACCTAACCCTCACCTCCTCCTCCTCTTCCCCCCCC